AATGAATACTTACAGACGACTAATATAAAGCTTAATTTATAAAGATTAGTAAGTTGAGAGTTAGAACATTTTAAAATATCAGGAAAATGTATAATTTAATTGAGTTAACCACGATCGTCCACTGTACGGTGTTACAACAGCTGTAAATGCGTTTTATCAAAATTCTGATCAAAACAGTTAGCTTCACGGTCATTTAATTTTCACTTATTACATAATTTATCACAATACTTTTTGCGCATGAATTAAAAAGAAAACTAATGAAATTGATATTATCAAGACCCGTGAAAAACGGCCAGAGTCAGAAATATAATATAAATTTTTGGTACGCCCAAACCCAATAAGACCCATATTTTGAGGAAAATACAAATCATTTGGTGCGTTTTTTTTTTGGGGTTTGTGCTTTTTATTTTTGATAAACCACGAGTGCGTGTACGGTTTTGTAGTTGGTATTTCTATAATGAATCACTGTTGCTTGTATTATTATAATATGCAAATTGCTCGAGTCCGTGAGTCATCGGACACTCAAAGGGTATACCGCGTTTCCCGAGTGGCCGGAAAACTCTTTAGCAAGCTAGTAAAAAAAAAAAAAAAAAATAGCGTTTATCCGACCTCTTTTATTTCCTGCGCGAATACTACCAATCAAATATGTGTAGTAGTATTATATATAATGTATGGAAGGTTTTTCTCTTTTTTTTTTTTTTGCCCCAGAAGGCCGAAGTTTTCAACCGCAAACTTGTTTTCCTTTCATTACGGCAAAATGTTTGCACATCGTTGCCGACCGAATGTAATATATATATATATATATATATAAAGGTATTATATTCTGTATGTGCGTAGGTAGGTAGGTGAAACAAGGGGGAACACACGCGAAACGGCGGCGGCCGGGGCAGCGTGTACACGGTATCGACGAAAAATGAGCGCTTGCGCGCCGTAAAGCCCTTTTCATTTTCCCCGAAGATATTAATAACAGACACGCCTATACGCGGCCGGGCATCCAATACATTTCGTGCGCCGGACAAGGGTCTGACGAACAACCCCTGAATTATTTATCCCCCCGGCATGGTGTTGTACGCGTGTAGCCGGTTGGACGTAGTGTGTTGCTATTGATGACAGTTTTCCCACCGTACGGCACTGTCCATCTTTGTTTAATATTTCACAAGGGGATGTTTGGGTTTTTTTTTTCATTTTTTTTTGTTAAATCGATAATAAATTCCCCAAACCGCGCGCCGATCTATTATTGTTTGTATACACAGTATCGCGTCTCCTCGTTATAAACCGCTTCATTCACGAATCGTTTGGGGACGGGGCCGGGAGCGAGGCGGGGGGGGGGGGTCAAAAAACCCACAGGCAATCACACGTTTTTTTTAGGTACTGCTACCTACTACCCGTACAGCTATCCACTGTGACGTAAGGCGGTAGGTGGTAAGGCGTATATTAATTTTTCAAAACCCGTTCGGCCCCACAACAATTATTCCCACCGTCGCAGATGACACGCGGATGGCCTCGAAAGGACACTGTACGATTCGAAAACTTAACACGACCGGTCGCCAAAAGTGAATGCCAAACGAGTAAACGCCTAAGTCTTAAAACAAATTGTTGGCTTTGTTTCGTACGGTCAATTCCGGACACCTCCCCGGACGACGTGTTCACGTTTAAATTGAATACGTTGGCATTGTTGGGATTGTTCGAAAAATCGAAACAAAAGCGAAAAATAATATTTTAAAGTCGATTGTTTAGTGTTTGGCTGTTTATCATAAACGTACCGATTTATTAATGCACGGAAAAAATACATAGTTGGTCGACTAAAATTTTGGTTAACAAAGATATACGATACATTGCTGGTTGGAATAACTAAATAAATACATTTAGCCGAACTAAATGTATAGTTGCTTTAACTATAAATTTAGCAGAACCAACTGTGTATTCAGTGGCGTAGCTACCGTGAGCGCAGGGGGGCAAGTTGCCCATGAGCGCATCCTATTTTAGGGCGTTTTTGTACGGTTTAATATACACGTTAACATGTAATATAGGGCGAAAAAAAATGTCTTGCTCCTGGGCGCTTTAGTCTCTAGTTACGCCACTGCATGTATTTTTTTTTTTTTTGTGAATCATATTAAAATTATTCGACTTATTTGTTTTATTCGATGAACATTGTTTTTTCGCGGATAATTTTTTTCATTCGTTGTACTTGTTTTTGTTTTTTGAAGGATTTTAAATACTTTTGTACGATAAATGTTTATTAATTTATTTTATTTTATTTATAGGGTATTTAAGATAACTGTTCTATTTGAAATTAAAATTAATATCTGACTTCCTTGATGATCTAATGTGCCTGTTTTTATAATGTATACTTTTTTTATCGATCAAATTATGTGAAATCTTAGTCTTGACGTAATTAATGTGCATAATATTTCATGTGTATTTAAACGGGTTTTGTTGTGTGCAGCAATAAACTGCAGAGGTTATTAATCTAATTTTACGTTTAAACGCCACGTTTAATGTCTCATCCATTTTATAGTATATAAATATGTACACATAGTTTATGTTTTATAGTACAATCGACTGCAAATTTGACTGGGCGAATTAATGATTTACATTAATACATTTTCGATCGACCCGGTAAAACAATTTTTGCTAACTTAGCTAATATTAACTTACTAATAACTATTTTTATTTAATTTACGTGAAAAAATGTATATTTACTTCATCATTCAAGATTTGATTTTGTTCTTTAATTTAAACAATTCACAGATTTGTTTAAAGTACGTGTTATGGTTAAGAATTATGGTTAATAAACGCATAAAATAAAAAGTTAAGTGTGTAAGTGTTTAATGAAATATTAAAAACACATATAAGATAAACCATTTGTTTAAAATAGGGTTTATTTAAATAATTAATTATTTTTTAAACTTATTAGTTACCAATACTACGGTTACAAGTGTGATTAAAATCCATTAAACGTATTCCGTACTATATAACTCCTGAAGTTAAAAGTATGTTAACACTTTAGAAAATAGGTTTATGGTATTTTAGTTTTACCTAATTCAAATCAGTTAGTTAATATTTAAAGTTCGGATTAAGACTCACAGTCAGACAGCGAATTAAAAAAATGCAAACAGATATTATATCAATTTTGCATAATAAACCATCTATTAATTAATTCATACTTTATTTAATTCATCCATACATGTTAATACTTGCATATAAGCTGCAATGTGAAAATTAATTAGTGGAATGTGTATTACAAAAATTCAATTTTTCATTGTAGTTTATAACCAAGTATTAACAGTATATAAATTAAATTAATCGAATTAATATATCCCATAGTATATTATATTGAATTATAAATTTGTTATGAGTTATAATAACAGTATAATCCTCATTTATATTATTTTTAAACTCTAACATGTTTGTCTTTAACCGAATTTTTAAACCTAAAAAAAAAACTAATTTGAAAAAACTAAAAACTGTTAAATTAATGTTAGGCGGTTTAACAAGTAATTACATAATATTGAAAGCTGAAATAAAAAAGTGGATACCTTATATCGCGTTTGCATGCAATTGTTAATTCGAGTTATGTTGATGCGAATTAATTTTTAAGTACTTGCGCATTAGCAATTATTGGATTCATATAAAATATTTAATCCCGGTGTGAGTTTGAATTTGGATCGGAAAAAATGGGAAATATAGTTTAGGTTGTTTGTATTATTTTTTTCTAATAAACAAATATTATCGTGCAAATGGCATCGAGCCATTCGTTTCCGGTAGTAGGCATAAACATGTTATATATATTTTTTATTTTTGTCGAAACCGAGTTAAGGTCAACGGGTGATGCTCTTATTATTGTAGTGATACACACGACGCGTATTCGATTCTATTTAGGCCATGCAATCACAATGTATACATTTTGTGTGGTTTTTTTTTTTTTTTTGTGGAAAATTCGATTCGGCATTGATATTGAGTTTAGGTCAACCAATGGAGGACAACACAATTCGCTTGTTCGACGTTTTACGTTATATTATTATTATTTATCATTATATACAGAATATATATATACAATATGGTAGCTATAAAACGTATTCAAGGTGTTAGGGAATATCTATATATATATATATATATACTTTATACACATTAACATAACATATACACGACACATCTGGTGTCGTTAACGTTTGAAACGATCAACGTGTATCGGCGTATACCAATATGATGTATACATCTGCACGTAGGTACAATAATAGATATTATGTATAATGCGCGTAGCACATAATAAATAATATAAATTACGCGTTCGAAGAAAAACGTTCTACCAATAGAAATTAGAAAATGACGAGTTGCGTTCAAGTCGATAAGTTCTCAGCACCATCACACACACACACACTGGAGCAGTTAAAGGGCTCGTGACGCTTCCTATTCACAAGGAAATCATATTCGAAAAGCTAATAACACGCGGCGGATATATTATAATAATACACACAATCGTTTCTCCCCTTCGGAAGTATAGACAGATAGGTAGGTGGGCGGCAGGTAGGTAGGCAGGTAGGTAGGCACCTTTATTATACGCCGCCGCTTGAGTAATATTTATGTAAACTATTATCGGCGAGTGTGTCAAGTGATTAATAATCCGGCACAACAACACTTGGGTAAACGAACCCTTATTTCGGAGCCAGAATGGGGAGAAATGGAAAAAAAAAACATTAAAAAAAAAAAAATCGAGCCGTATAGTATCAACCTGCTGCGAGTAGGTGGCTGCCCCGATATCCTGCACGCATGTGCCCGGAAGTCGGTTGTTAATCGGTCGGAAACGATCTCGGGGGAACCGGTGCAGTTGTATATCGCACCCCTAGACAAACGGTAATGACGGTAGATATATACTGGAAAGCGCGCCGGCCCCCCGGGGAGAAGTTAACGATTTTCGTTCACTCTCAGATCTTTGACAGACAAACAAGTGCACAGCGATGACAATGAAATGACCAGCTAGTATTGTTTTTGGTTCACAGTCTACCATGTTGGAAGTGAAAAGGTCGTCGCCGATGCCACTACCGACGCCGGCCAACCCGGAACCGGACACGGATCTGACCAGCCTCAACTGGCTGCACAGCCTGACCAACATACTGTCAGTGCCCTCGTTACCAACCCCTCCTGAATCGCCAAACTCGCCTGTGCGTTCGGCCGACCAGAATCCCAAGAAGCTTCCGCACAAAATTCGCTTCCAAATGAGTAAGTTCCGTTTTGTACGCCGTGTACTCACAGTTAGACACGGAGTCCGACTGAAATACTTGATAGCCAGAGTTGAGAACAGTTCGAAGAGAAAAAAAAATTAGATAATAATTTCGCGAATAATATAATAATCAGCATAGGCACAATATTAAGGGTTGCTGAGCATCCTTTGTTTTTAAATTAACGTTCCCAAAATTATTTGTATAATAATATAGATATATTGTAATAATAAATAAACTGTCTTAAATATTTTTTACATTTATCTATTATCTGTGTAGATAATCGATATAAAATCCTTTAAATAAATATTAACAATAGAAATAAGTACTCATAAATAATTATGTTTACAACGAAAAACGAATAAATTCGTGATAAATAACCGAATAATAATTTATTAAACTAAAAGATCATTTATTCAGATAAATACAACTATTGGGATAACATTTAACTCTCGTATTAAAGCCCCCTTTTAAAAAGCTTTCGGTCAATCATTAAAATTTAATAAGCCAAGCAAAAATGTATTTTTCAAAATTTATTAGTCTAATATTTTATTAGACAATTGACATATTTTATTTATTACTATATTTTTTTCATCACTTTTGCGGCACAAAATTAAATATTTATTTACACCCTTTGGAAAATAATAAAGTTAAGAATCTTTTAAAACGATAATAAGTTTAGTAATTAATTTTAAGTTATCTATTGATGATTTTAAATGTTTGTATCTTAATGTTTTAAGAATATTATATATTTAATGCCTTAAAGTGTTAATAAAAAAAAAAAAAAATTAAATATAACATTTGATAAAGGTTTGACATACCATTTCATAAAATACTGTATTTTAAATAGAACCCATAAATACTATTGATAACAATTATACTGTCTTACTTATACTTAAAATACCATCTACACGTATTATACATTTGCATTTCTATACTTAAGGATATAGATAATATGCTTGAATTGTTTTCTCAGGTCTGGAAAGCGCAGAACAGTATAAGAAAAACGGCGACAAAAAACCACCTTTTTCGTACTCCACGTTGATCTGCATGGCCATGAAAGCCAAAGGCAACAAAGTAACGCTAAGTTCGATTTACGGTTGGATTAAAGAGAACTTCTTGTACTACCGGAACGCCGACCCCAGTTGGAAGGTACGATCAAAGAACAGTGACGATTATTATATTATTTAGTCCATCGCAACACGTTGTTATTAACCCAAGTTCACTATTGTACACTTCCAGAACTCCATCAGGCACAATTTGTCGTTAAACAAATTTTTCGTCAAAGTGCCACGTTCCAAAGACGAACCGGGCAAAGGAGGATTTTGGAAGTTTGACGTCGACTGCCTGGAAGGAGGAGCCCGACGTAAGCGGACAAGTAAGTGCTAACCTACTCTTTAAGTTAAAAGTTACTCATTGAAAAAATTACTTAGAAACTACAGCTGTTAATTTTTTGTATATGCGTTCCTAGGTCTAACATTGATAAGCCAACAATAAAATCAAACAAATAAGAATTAATAACGCGGTTTTTGTAATTTCTAAAAAAAAAAAAAATAGTAGTTATTACTTTTTCATTACTTATAGCAGGAAATGTAATGAAATTCCGTAACGCGTTATAAAAAAGTAAAGTCGTTAAAAAATATTCTCATTTTTCTAATAAATGGTTTTTTGAATATAATTAATTTTTATTAACCACTAAACACTAATGATAACAATTTAATCGAATAGTATTGTTTATTCGATTAGATATTTATTTGAATCATTTTTTTGGGATACATTCTAATAAAAATGTATCTAAATAATGATATTCGTTATTTTGTTCCCTATAATATAAAATATGGTCATAATATATGGCTTGATTAAAATGTAACAGTATTATTAATAGTCAGATAAAAAAACGATTAATATTTTACAATAGTGGTGTGTTACACAACTTTTTTCAAAATATGTAAGGTCAATTGCCGTACTACCAATACATTAAGAATTCCTACATCACTTTTAAAGCAAGTTATAAATATAATTTTTTTCTAATTAAAAAATATTTACATTCGTTTATTTGTTTTGTATCCAATAATTTTGTATTCAAACAACAATTCATTCGAATAATAGTTTTATGAAAATTATCTAATAAAAAATTATTCCAGTAAAATATTATATTTGTATTTTAAGACGTTATTCGACTTGTTTTAATTTTTTTTTTTTTCGTTAGTTTATTACAACGTGCCCTACTCTGGTTACAGTAACGCGTAACTTTCGTTACGTTACAACCCAAAACGGCCGTTAGTGAACTATTCATCGGGCGTGTACACGGGTAGTAGTAATTCGCAAAACTCAAGTGTTTTTGTTTTTTTTTTGTTTTTTAGGCAGCCGCAGACGGACCAGCCGGCTGCAACACAAGACCCAGAGCAAGGTTGTCGAGGAGATGACGTTGGAGGACGAAAAAGCGTTAGAGCTGGCAGTCCAGTCGTTGGAAGAGGAACAGCGGCATATGGACAATTTGGACGGTTTCAACCAGCAGCACCAACACCCGTTGATACTTCCTGTGGACGAGCCAATGGGCGAGCCCGAGTTGGTCTACAGCTGTTCGATAAACGCAGCCACCGTGGATCCGTTCATGTCTTCTGTGGTCGATTACGCTATAATCGACATACCCAACGACCATTCGCAGCCGATTGCCACGGACGACGAGCTGACCATGCTGACGAACCTGGCGTGGGACGACTCGCAAATGGACCTGCTCGACTCGTTGCTGGACTCGTTGTAAGGCGCGCATCGCCGCAGTAAGTCGCACGCGCCGGTAACCACAGCGCGGGACTCGTGTACATACCAGTGGTATATTAATATTAATAATACCGTGCGATACCTAACCTCCTATCACGTCGGTCTGGATAAAAGTTGTATGATGAAGTGTCAAAGTGAAACTAGTCTTTTTTTTTTTTTTTAATTAATATTAACGACGTAGCGATAATATAATAAGATTAATCGATGATAAGATTATGATTAATTTCAATATGTATAAGAATACCGTTTGAGTCTACTAATTTCCTTTTTTTTTTTTTAACACAAATATTTTCTGGGTCGAGTAAAATTTACTCAATCGGCTGTTACCGGTTACAAGACAAACAAATATGTAATCATAATAATACGCCCAAACAGACGTTTAATCAAATACCCGACAACCCTTATCCCAACTTCAGTGTTAGGCAAATACAAATTATGCAATGTGTAACTTTGTAACGTAACTAGTATCATCTAACACAAGTTAATGTAAAAACCGTAGAGTGTAGTTGCAGGTTGCCAACTTACACAAAAAAACGTGTAACTAGTTACAAGTAACAGTTGTCATCAATGACAATACATTTTGATTCCGACGCATGTAACTCAAATACGGCCGACTCTGAATATTTTTTACCTATATTTGTCTATTGTTAAACAATTATTTTTTTTTCTTCGGTTGCATAGTTAGTCTCATTACATAATATATTCATTGCCGAGTGCTATTATAAAATATGTATATTTTGTCGTAAAAGACCTTTCCGTTTTACTCTAGCGCGGATCCGAGATTTTTTTTTTATTGGAAAAAGGTAAATGAGTTTCAGTAAATATGGGCCACGTTGAACAGATGTGATAATTGTTTTTCTCGTTGAGTGCTTTACAGGAACGTCTTTGGCTTAGTTTTTGTGTAATTTCCAGCACAAACGAGGAGAGAATATATTTTAATGAATAGCTATTGGTTTTTGTAAAAATAAAAAGGCAACTTGTCGCAATTTTGAGTTTGGGTTTTCATGTATAGTTATATTATATTTTTTTAAAACTGTGGAAAACAAATCGTTCACATGGCGGCCATCCTTTATGTCCGCGCTTGGGTTTACCCTTTTTTTTTTTGTGGCAGAACCTTATAGACAATTATTATGATATTATATGTATATTTTATTGTAATCTATTCCGAATATTTAGTTTGATATTTTCATGTAACTTGGTTTTTTTCGACAAACGTGTGACACATTGACGTACGGATTGATTGAACCGGATACAATAATAATTTTAGCATTTGTACTACGTTTTGTAAGCGCGCACGATAAATAGATACTAAAACATATTATAATATATATATATATATACCTATATATTACTATGCAATATTTTACTCTAGTGAAAATTGTAAGTCGTCTATATTACTACATTTATACTTTGATTGTAATACATATTAATAATAATATTTATCCGAGTAAATAATGTCTTTTTTTTCTTTCTTTCTAATTGTTATTACCGGCTATTGTCATAAAATAGCGACGCGTAATAATAATACCAATTGTTATTATTAATATCGTCACAGACGACGGATCCGTCGATTTTGGCTTCGACGCGGAGCTGCGAATGGTAGAGTTGGTTCTAAACTTTGTCTATAGCTTTAATTTTGAAGAAAAAAAAAAAATGGTCGCCAGAGCTACCGCGTTTAGCTAATAAAAAAAAAAAAAAGTACGAGGCAAATGTAACAAAACGACAATCAACACATGTTTGAACGTCGCAAAGGGTAGACCGTCGTCGACAACAGCAGCATTAGCCACCGTGTAGCAGAATTACTAGGATTGGAGCTTTTCAAAACCGATCCGAACATTTTCGCGGTTCCTTGGATGGCCTCCAGTTGGCTGACGCTTAACGATGAACGTTGACTTGGCGAAAGAGCGTGGACCGACGATAGCGACAAGTGCGACAGTTGATCGATTGACATGGCCTTGGTCGTATGACAAAAGCTTTAATATATCGTTGTGGTGCATTTTTTAATTGATTTTTTTTAAAAAAAAAACTGCATTTTTACCTGTAGAGTCTTACCGGGCAAACATTGCACGCTGGAAGCGGCCAGTCCTTCGAAGGCTTCCGGGTTGATGTTGCTGACAGAGTCCAGACCGGCTATGACACATCCGATCAGAGCCACCTAAAGTGAAAATAAACGAATTCGATAACACGGCCTCAATCGTTGTTAATACCAAGGGGTAGGGGGGGAGGGGGGGGGTCAAATGATTTACGGAGGTGTTTAGCCTGAGTTCCGTTGCCGAATTTTTAAAAAAAAAAAAACTAAAAAACACCTTTTCAACGCGTTTTACTCCAGAAGTGGCGGCAATTATTTACTTTCTATGGCTACATTAAAGTCACGCGAAAAAGCACAAATTCACCTGAACCGCTGTCCATTCCGATGGATCTCCAAACGCATCTTTGCTCCTAGCCAGGGTCGCTAGTTCTTTCATTATGTCTTCCGGGCAGTACATAAGATTGGACACCGCTGCTGCGGCGGCTCTGCAAAATGATCGCCGGCTCTTGGTAAAATCATCATTAAAAATAAGATGCTTACGGTATTATCGCTTTACTCACTTGTACGCCAGCGGTTTGATATCGGCTATTTGTGTGGTATTATAAACGCACAACAGTTGACCTAAGGCCGCCAAGTCGTAACCACTGAAATCGGACGGTCCCTTATAGCTCCACTGATACTCGACCGCTTGTTTCAAGTAAATGAGCTGAGCACGGTATTACGGTTGTATTAAAGTTACTTTAGACATTAAAGGAACCAACGAAATGGTATTTGCTCGGCTTTTGCTATTAGCCAAAACACAATTGATACAATTTGTACGAGACAAATGATGGGGTCGACCACTCCCAAACTTCCTGTTATACACTGGTTGGCAGCATCATTCTGTCTCGCGCAGTCATTCCACACATCCGCCAAGACATTTTTTTATTTCATATCTTTTGTTCAAAGCTAACCACTGTACATCGCCGTTGCTGCACTCGGTAGTTTTATAACTACTTTCCCCTTTACTCTAAATAGCACCTTTCGTCCACACAATATAACCTTTTATTTCATATTCTCCATTCTCTTTAATACAACTGATCCTCTAAATGCCAAAATTGTTGTACTCTGTTTGCGATCCAAACAAAACGGATTCCCTGCCTTCTTATCTAACTCCTCATCATTATTTAGGTAAACTCTAAGTACACTCTGTTTCAGACACAATAGACACCGCGTGGTGCATCGCCTCGTCTGTCTCTGGTAAGTTCCTACTTGCAATTGTTAACAAAACAAAACAAGTAATGACTCAATGTGACGAATACACGACCCTCTGACACGGAGAATTGTTTTTTGTTTCTAGTTAAAACGTGATTAGTTTCTAAAGGCAACACAACGTTTCGGTTCAACATGCGTTTAACTATTAAAGTAGTGTTGATAAATTAATCCAAGTTAATCACAGTGAATAGTCGGTTATTTTGGAGACTTACAAGATTTATTTACTTGCCTGGTTATCGGAAAGATTTCTATACTTGCCAAACGCAGCAATCGTTTCAATGTCTGTCAATGACAAATTTAAGAAATCATTTTCCGGTATTCCGGTCGTTATCCACCCCAAAAGCTGAAGTTCTTCTTCTGGTATGTCCTCGACGGTTTTGTGTACCTGTAAATTATTCGAAATAAACGTTAGATAACATGTTATGCCGTTTAATTTTCAAAATTAGCAATTTGTTTCAAGTCACAGAGCGATACAAGGATGACAAGGTAAGTAATATTGTTATTTATTTCGTACATAAATTGGCAAATATTTAATTCGTGATTCGTTTGAATTTTTTTTTAACACCGCCAATTTTGACAAATATTTTGAATAATTGGAAAAAATATCTGAAATATTTAATACTGACTGGGTTGTTAAAAACTGGAAAACACAAACTTATTGAATTTCATTTGAACTGAAAAACTTATATTTTATTATAAATAATGTTGTATGAGTTTATTTTTATAGTACATAATATTATCATTCTAATGTTATACAATAACTCATATTATACAACATTACAGTACACTAAAATAATGAAATGAAATAGATCTACTCTGTAGTAATATTTTTTAAGTTATCAGTACATAAAACCTAACCTAATCTAACCTATTTAAGTAATATTGTTTTAATTGTGAAAAATTTAATCATCACTTAAAGTTATTAAAACTGAGATTTTTACCGAAATTAGCATTTTGCAAAATAATAAATAAGGGAATTGTTTTGTGTAATGTTAAAACAAAATGTGAGGTAATTGTAAACAACAATAAGACAAGTGTGCCAAACTTCAAGTTTTTCGCTTTTTCTAACCAAAATTGATTAATTAATAAATTAAGGATTTTATCAAAAATAAAAGTTTACCTATGCTCCATTTGTCGATCTTAATTTAAGTTAAAAATTATATTTGTAATGCTCTAAATTTTTTTTCCATATAATTTTTGGAACGCTAACACATATACCTTCGTTCATAATAACATTTTTTTTTTCCTGTTCTCCTAAAATATTGGAAATCGTTAACCCGAGTTGGTATACGAATTGGATCTGTCTCTAAATCATAATATCTTCAACATTAATACCTTAACGAGGTCTTTCCACAACATGTTGGCAGTAGATTTTTCCAAGCGGTCTTTTCCTAATACGGTCAGACACATTTTTATTTGCTGCATGTTGTCTTCGGATATCAAACCGTTCACGTCGGCTTTGGAGAATTTGCCGTTTTGTTTGAGTAGAGATTCTTCACAAGTCCTCAGCTGCACGTTTCCAATCATGCCGGACAAAAGCACAGCGAGAAACGACGACCGGGATAAAGGCATTTTGTTCTTTTACCGTCAACGACCAGTGGCGATTTAAGCCGGCACACGATAATATAATGCACACAAGAACGCCAATCGAAATAGAGCAGCCATTCTTTAAAAATGTACAAAAAAAAAAAGAAAATTACTTTTACCTTATTTTATAGGTTTGTCACGCGTCAAGGTCGGCCGCAAACAAAGCACGTCGTCGTTCTTAATTTGCAATTAGTCAGGACAAATGTCAGTATAGTTGTTTGTCTTTTACATTTATACACAAAACAAGCACATTATTTATTTATAATCTTCATCAAAAGCTATGTGTTCTATACAATATAGTTGAATGAATATATAATGGCTAAAATAATGATACAATACGTTTGTAGTCGAAACAACTAATAAATTGTGTGTTTGTTGTTGTAGGCTGTAGGCGACACTATTACATTAGTTTAAATGTAATACAAGAGCAAATAATATATCATGCAATTGTAAGGCCTCCCAAGAGCAAATTCAGATCTAAATTTGAACATGCAATAATTCGTATACCTATTCAAACCTAAGCAACTCAAGTCGTTATGACTTGGTGCGCTCGATTTACGCCAAAACGCAATAATAATCCACACAAGAACGCCAATAAAAAAAAAAAGAAGCCATTCTTGGGTATTTTTGGCATTGGCTTGCCAAAAAATACGCTTAGTTCAAATCTTTTACTTAATGAGTTTTCTCGAATAGAAAATTATCTATTATTCTTAAAATTATTCATATTGCTCGTATTTTTAATTTAAATTTTACCAAACTCTGGCCGTGTAGTTGTGAAATGTAATAAATATAGGCGTGCATCCCGGTACAAAGGGGAAAAAGCTCGATTGGAGAAAATAATAAAGACACGACATTTCGTTATTGAAACGCCATATCCGGCGCCAACTCGAATGTTTGTAGAACTTACTTTGGCCGTTTTGTAGACATCCTATTCGGCGGTACAGGACACCTCAATCGATACTTTTAAAAAATGCAAAGAAAGTCGATAGAAACGCGGTGCGTATGCATGTTTTTTGTTTCCTAATGGCCATAGGACAATCGGTATTATAATATATTATTTAAACCGCCCACGCGTGCCCGCGGTTGTTATTTTTTTTCCTAGCGTCCTCTCGTTTTATTCGTGTGTATAACACACAGGTGTAACACTTGGGCACAGCACATTGGATCGGTGGCGAGGATATACCGCTGCAGCGGTAACTACTAGTTATCCACAAGTACGGCCAGCTGTGAGTGCACAGTGCAGTGAACTCTACCAGGCGGAGGAAGGGGACCGCAGACCGCATAGTCCAAACGTACACACACATACACAAGACGGACCAAATCCACCGTCTCTCCTCTCTATAATGTTACAGTGTGTCTTCAGTCGTCTTGGCCGGCGGTGGTGACGACGGCGATGCGCGTTCAACGAAAGTGCAATAGTAAAAAAATCGTTTAAACAATTCACCATGTCCGTTTGTCTTGCACGTCGCTGAACGCCGATCCACGCTCGATAAAAGGTAATATGTACCTTTTGGCTTTTAAACTGCTTTTTTTCTCGGCTAAACGTCCTATTTTTGAGGTTTTTTTCGGTGCAAAATTGTACGGTGTAATTTTCACGCGATATTTCGTTGCCCGACAGTGCGAAATCAAAACGCTAGCAGAGCTCCTATAGCCGTGGACTATTTGTTGACTATTTCCGTTGAACACACTCAAAGTGTCAAAACACCGGTAAGACGAGATGCGGTCCCGTGTGTTGTACATACCGGTTTTTCAGTTATTATTATTGCTATATTACATTACTGGGCGCCTCCGCGCGAGTTTTCTGAGTGAGAGGTCCAGTGTTGTTTTTTTATTTTATAAAAAAAATATGTACATACACAAGTCTTTAACTGAAATATCCTTCGCCGGCGGATATTAATTATAATCAACCGTCTTATTGGTAGTTTTCGTTTCCGTAAGGAATGCACAAGAATATGAATTGTACGCGGTGCGTTTACTGTACTATTAGCTGTGGTTCTTCGAAAAAGAAAAAAAATACTTAGACACTCATTCTTTGCTACTATTAATCAATGTCCACGCGATCGTCTTGGGTTTCACTAACCGCAAAAAAATAAAATAAAATGCGGACGTGTCGTCACACCTATTGTTGATGTATAAATTACTATTTTCTAGTAAAATTCAACACGTTCTACAAAAAAAAACAAAAAAATATTTTTTCTTCAATATAATTTCAAGCAGGTTTTGACTGAGTATAACCTACAAGAGTTATATATTTTATAAAAAATACACTTATTTTAATATTTTAAATACATTTTGAAAACAATAAATTGAAATCGTATTTAATTATGTATAACTGATTATGGCCAAATTCTTTATATTTTTTTCTACCTAAATGATAAGTTTATAAAATCAAACCAAGTATAAACAATAGATAAGTAAATTTTAAATAATTAACGGTTTAAAATACAATACCACATGGAAATAATAGATTTTAAAACGTGTTTATTATAATGTACGATTATTTATTATTGTAAATTTACACAATATTCTTACGTCACATTTTAACAGAAATATGAAAATATATAAGTACCTAAATAAATCAATACAATTTCCTAACTATTAAATATCAAAATATACCTAAACGAATTATTTTCAAAACCTCAATGAATCTCTAACGTATTATAAGTATAATTTATATATATATATATTTTTTTTTATAACATTATTTAAATCTTGGTTTTTTTAATACTTGAAACACACAAAATAACAATTATGTGTCATTGTTCAACAATGGGAAAATTTAATATGTTTAACAATTGAGCAACAGTGTATAATTACTATTACCGTCAGAAAATATTTAGAAGGTTATATAAGTTTCTAGTTGTTGTTTACATAAATTTAATTAGTTTTTTCCATAATGATTTTCTCAGTGTAAAATTATGATTACTATTTACACGCTACTCGCTCTAAGAAATATAGCTTTGGGTCCCTTCCACATCAAAGACACATGTTTAAATATTATAACAATCGTTAGGATATTTTTTAATATTATAAAATCATGTGTTGGCAGGACTTCAGATTATAATGTTCTTAAAATATTTCCATTGCATTATAAATGAATTTAAACACTAAGAAATTATTATTAAACATTTGTGTAAATATAATTTGACTTGCTGTGAAATATATCATTGCCGTGTGTGCTATAACTAGATAGGAAAATGGATGCAAATACAAACAAACAATATATTTTACTATACACCGCAAGTGTATCCTCGGCTACTAAATATGAGACGCATATAAAAAAACACCGAGGACACTCCTTGTGCAATAAACATGCACGGGTATGCCTATAAACAACCAACATGTATGTTTTACACAAAATAGGTAGGTACATAGTATATAGGCATTTCCGATGACCTTTCCTGGGCGTACTTTGATTGCCGAGACCAATTTTCAATTGCTTTCGATTGTCATTCGGTTAAACGCGCTTACCTATATGTATGTGTATGTATACACATTATTATACCATCATCATATATCGTTACAAAACAATATTTAAAGGATGTCGGCGGTGTGCCAGTAGTAAATTAGCAACGAACCCTACGAGTAGTGACGTGCTGCCACACGGTCCGTATGGATTTCATTATTATTATGATCCGGCTTATCGACAAACTTAACAGCACAGCGACCGCGTCGTAAATCATATTTCAAATATATTTTACTCTATTGTTCCCAATGCATAATATAGATTTCTGCAGTACCGCCGTCCGGTTGTCGAGTGCAACGTCTAGAGATTATGTTTTTTTCCGTTTTGTCGCCGCCGACGGCTGTTTTAACAGTGGCTGATGCTATTATTTTACTTTGAATCCATAAAAAAATACACTCATACGCTGTACTTACAGTTTGCCGGTTCGACAGCGATGAAGAGTCGACTGCGCGTGCCGTTGACACCTTTACTGGCGGTGCTCCTGGCCGTCGTACTGCCGGCATCGGTCACCGGCCAGCAATGCTACGAACCACTGGATTCCGATCCGTACCTGTTCTTCTCGCACAAAACGGCGTACCAGCTGATCTACAACTCAAAGTTCAAACCCGTGCCTTGTAAGTCAACGGTTAAATAACGATTTAGCGATTTCTAGTTACGCCACTGTCCGGTTGGGTCCTGTTGACATTCTGTAACATCACCCACAGCCGTTCAGCTTCCGAATGAATTCCCACAGTACATGGATGATTAAATGAGAATAACAATTATCATGCATAGCGTATGTGGTTTACTGTTTTTAGATTGTCGACCAACGTTTGTCTGGATGTTCATTAGACATGGCACGAGCTATCCGACGGCTAACGAGTCTTCAGCCATCCGGCAATTGCATCTGTTCAAAGACAGAGTGATCAACAATCACGAAGAACGCCGTGGTTCGTATTCCTAACCGCGCTTTCTTTACGATGTCATCTCTGACCGATCCTGGTCGTTTAAATTTTTACACAGATGGACATTTGTGCAAAAGCGTCCAGGACAGTCTGAAACGCTGGGAGTTCGAAGTGAACCCAATGTCCGAGGACGACATTTCGCCCCAAGGCAAGATGGACATGCGCCTGATGGCGAAAAGGACCCGAGACAAGCTCAGCGAAGTGTTGGCCAGGGAGTTCGACCGAAATACGTTCAAAGTATGACGGGGCGGTAACCGAATTTATATTTAGTAATTATTACAACTCACCCGCGTGCCGGATGTTTTAGTTTTACTCCAGCGAAGACCGCAAAGTGATGAACAGCGCAGAAGAATTTTCCCGCGGCATGTTCGGAGATGATTTCAAATCCAAGATTTCCATCGAAACGGTCCATAACAATTCCAGTTTCATAGGAGTGCGTGGAAATTGTCGACATTTGTTAGCTGAACGGTTCCACCTATAATGATTAGAGTTTTTTTTTTGTTGAAATTCCAGTTGGAGTCCTGTCCGAAATGGCAGACGCCGACCAACGACGTTCATCCCGAAGCGTTGCGGTTCCGGAGCTCGCCCGAGTACGTGAAAATGGTCGGTCAGATCAGCGCCAGACTTGGATTCCTGGACAACATAACCGACAGTAAGTGTGTTGCACACTAGAAGTGGTGCCGTTCATAAGTATGACCTAACAGTTTCTGCGTTAAACGCCATTCGACAGGCATAGTCCACGCAATGTACGAATCGTGTCGCTATAACAAAGCGTTGGTGCTGAATTCGTTTCCGGCCTGGTGTGGATTGTTCACCAGACAAGAGTTGCAAGTGAGTCTCATACCCGGTCGGCCCGGTGGCTGTGACAAATAAACTGATATGATCCGTCGGCTTTTGCGTTTCAGTTGCTCGAGTACTACGAAGATTTGGACTTCTACTACAAGTACGGTTACGGATCCGACTTTAACGTTAAGGTGGGATGTCCCATCGCCCACGAGCTGTTGGGTTATTTAAAGTAAGACAGGCCACGGGCGACTGCAGTAGTATTTCTATGTCTGGTATGATAGATTTTATTATGTGGCCAATGTTTTCGCGTTGCAGCGACGCGGCCAAAGAGCAGAAAGATTCGCCTTCGGCAGTGTTCAGGTTCGGCTCGTCCGCTGGTCTGTTGACGACCCTGATCGCTTTGGACATGGCGAAGGACTCGGTTCCACTCACCCACGCCAATTACCATTCCCAGTACCGTCGTCAGTGGAGAATGTCTCAAGTAGATCCGTTCTCTGGAAATCTAGCGGCTGTCTTTTACAAGTAAATTCCCATACATATTCCCAACCCGTAGGTACACGCGGTTTACTAGTTGGAAATTGGGCACACTCGCTTGCATCTTCCAGCTATTTTCTAGGTCGCCCGTTCTAGCCGTCGATATCCGCACACAGAATATTATTCATTCGGATCATTCTTTAACTCTTTGTTCATATTCGTTATCATTACCACTCTTTTCTTTTATCGTAAAATTTGTCATGACTACACCTATATTTTGGCAAATCATTACATTGCATTGTATATAGTATTTACAAACAATTGGGGAACCTAATATTGTGATTGTTTGTATATTGTAACATCTAATATTATGTTCTGGACCGTGGTAATCTCTTTAGCTAGGTCAATTGTTACAGTTGTAAGCGTTATATAACTATAAAAAAAAAAATTTGCATCATTGAATTTAAAACCTCAAACGAAAACACACAAGGGAGAAATTTAATGTTTGAACCAAAAATACAAATTATAACTTTACCGTCTAGGTATAAAGGCAAGAGCCAAAATGGTATGGGGTTTTAGAGCCATAGATATTAGAAAAACGGCTAAGGGAATACAGCTGACTGGAGATGTCTGTTAAATTAATTTTTAAGGGGTTTGCATATGAGTTTTGGAGGTCAAAAGTAAGGGGCATTATACCCTCCCCATTGGCGCCAATGTTAATACCTCTTTAATACGGTACATAATTTGTACTTAGCTCATATTGATTCTAGATTGCTCTTCAAGTCAATATGTTGTAGTACCCATATAATCGGTCGATTATGGTTCCAATCACTGATTATCCATGTATCCATGGCCCTTTTGGACTAAGCTGAGTTTCTCGAGGATTCGAGAGACTTGATCGCTTTTACGTTTAACGATACCATTGGTATAACAGGTGCATAAAGTGGTTGCTAGCTTCCTACAGTCAGGTAGGTAGTTCTGCTGTTTAGGGTATGGGTTTATATATTCAGGGTGCATGATCGAGACTAGATGAACGTTAAGCGATGGTTTGACCATCAGAAGCTATAGTCAATGGCTTTTTAAACCGTTACCCGAGTGCACTTTATGAAGAAAATCACGATTATCACCACCGAGTATAGTGTGTGGCTATAATAAGGTAATTTGAATTGTTTTGGAGAGCTGGGAGGTATGATTTTGTGTTTGAACTGTGCTACCCGTAGGCTCGCCTATAAGAACGGGCATTTTAATATTGTCAAACGGTATAATTAAGTAATTACCCAAAAAAATGATATTAATTTGACTTAGTTATTTTTATTTTATGGGTGGTTTTTTTTTTGTACAGGTGTGACCAAGGCGACGAAGAGAACAAAGTAATGTTTTATTTAAACGAAGGCGTGTACGATTATCCGGGATGCAACGTCGGCTTGTGTTCGTGGAAGTTCATACAAGAGAAATTCAAAAAATATCTCGGACCAAACGAATGCGGTCAAGTGTGTCACGACCATAGTTTAGCATCCGCCGTCGGAAACGCCTTTGTTCTTATGGTTACACTTTTGACAGCACATATTTTTGTGCGCTCATAAAGAACAACACAATAAGATTTTTAATTATTAATTGGCTGTGTCATAAAAATATGCAAATTATTTGGGTACTTAGCGTAATTAGCGTGATTGGCATACTTGCAATGACCAATTTACAAAATACATGGATTTATATTCTCGTTGAACTATACTAGGTAATTACATACATATAATTTAAGTTATGTTGGATGCGTAGTTAAATATGTCTTAAGAATAACAAAAAGGAACACTCCCGTGTGGCGGGAATAAGAAGTTATAAAATTCAATGTACAGTAGATTAACTACTGTAAACATATTATGTTGTCAAGGATAAAATTGAAGTTAGAAAAACATTCAGACTAATTTATACCAATTGTGCGTGACGATCTCAACTGCTAACAAGTGTAAAAATAAAAACACTCAAAACAAACCTCCAGTTATGGTTTTTTTTTCTATCCATCTAATAATGTCATTACTGTGTTGGAATTTCAGTTTTTTTATTTACTATTCAATCGAAATCGTTCAATTTCGTACATTTAACTGATTACTGAATTTCTGATTGTTCGAAATTCTTATTTAAAATAATAGCTAATTTAAATATAGTGTATAAACGATACAAATAGTAATAAAACCATATTTTTACTAAGCTACGAAGCCTTTGGCTATTGATTTTTTTTTATTAATATTTATATGTATGTTATAGACTAAAATATCTTTATAATACCAAAATTTGAAATATTACCTATTAGATATTATTATTATTATTTTTTTTTTGTAGTTTCTATTTTATGTTAGAAATTTTAGACAATAACTATTATTATGATGAAATGTACTTTAAAAAATATAATTGTAAAATATATAGTATTTTGAACAGAATTCTGCAAAAATTGTCTATGAAAAAGCTATGAGTTAAAAGTATGATGTAAAGAAATTAGCAAAAAAAGAAGCACACAAAAGCCAATTACAAAACATACCATATTAAACTAAAAGAGAAACTATCGAGAAAAACAAAACAAATTATGTGTTCGCTAATTGCTGTACGATAATAACCTAATTAATAAAATAAACTGTCAACGAAAAAATTAATCCGATAAAGACGATTCCATAAAAAAAAAAGCATGGATGTTATTGTTCTTTGCAAATTAATAAGTTTGAAGGTAATATTTTTTGATAAGCGTGAAAATGGTTTGAGTTTAAATAGTTTTTAAATTTCTTAAAACGGTGGTTTTGCTTAAAATTAATAAAAGCTGTCGGTTTTTTGTTATAATAATTAATATGTGTTGTTTTAACTTGCATCTTTGAATATCCATACAAGTTAAAACAAATATTAGTTTTCTACTAACATATCATGTACCAATTTCAGACAATGGCTTTGTGTACTTTAACGTTCAACACATTCAATTTCATGAAAACTGACATCGTAAATTAAAAGTAATGATGATATAAAAATAAAAGATCTTGTATAACGTTCCACCATTATTTGTTTTTTTTTGGCGACACTACAGCTATTCTGTATAGTAAATATATGAACCTATATGAATTATAATTTTTTTTTGTTTGTCTAACTTACCAGAAGTCCTCGAATTCATAAATAAAACATAAAATGTATATTATTAGCCAAACCAATCATATTTATTCAAATATCTCCCCGTTCAAAAAGTTAAATTTTTTCTTGAAAATGTTTATTAGTTAAATACCAGTCTAGTGTTCAGTGGTTGTGTTTATCCCTGTTAACGTATATATTAACTGACGTTACTTAATAGCCATATAATTAATATATTTTTATATAATTTATTATAATTTGTAATGATTGATGAACCTATGCAATATATTAACACTAAAAGTTCAAAACCGAAATGATTTAATTTGGATGATTAATTACTAAAAACAGTTTTTTTGGTTTCTACACCTAAGCACGCTTAAAGGTTAGATAGGTCTTTTTACCTATAAAGGTATTTGAGTAGAAATTATATATTATTGCCGGTATTCTTGAGGGAACATTTTTTTTTACAATTACATTAATAAAAACAATTAATTTCTAGGTGTATTTCAATAATTTATCAAATAAATCTTTAAATTATTTATAATAAAATATTTATATTTAATAACAATATATTTTAAACAGATTGTTTATTTGATATAATAAAATAAATATATATATATTGATTTATTATTATAAAAATATATTGTTGCTACCGTCGACCCAATCATTTTCGACCGTATGTTGAGGTTTTAACTACTCTTCATTACTTGGTGCTGGAAATTCCTAAATAAATAAAAACAATTTCATAAATTTTAAATGCTTAAAGAAACTAATTAAAATTGAAGAGCAACTATTATTACGCGAAAAGAAGTTTATAATTTTTTTTACGGAATGTAATTTTATAAAATAAATTCTTTTATTAATTTCAATTGTATTTTAGCCAAAATATGGCCAATAAAACCTTTTGCAATTTAAGATGAAAAGTACATAAACTTTCGGCACAGCTGTACCGTTGACATTTAGATTTTTTTCCAACTCGAACAAACACCGATATTCGGTAAATAATAATTGTTCAAAACAAACTTATATAAACATTGCTAGCGTATTGACTATTTCCATTGGTCTCACCCTAATTTTAAATTATACAAAGTTTGGTCAGTTTGTACTTTATACACACGAAAAGAATGCCTATTGTTGGATGACAGAAGTTGATATGCCATTTTTATCAATTACCGATAAGTTTTAAATAAATAAATAGATAGGTATTACACAAAGTGGAAAAATTGATATGATTAAGTGGGTTACATTTATCAAAATATAGTTGCTAATATGGAATATCAGTTTTTTATAATACAAATAGACATCGGTTATCGATTATAACTCATACATAATAACTGTCCAAAACAAACGCATACGTACATAATGGCTAAAGAATTTTCGATTCAGTTCCTCCTAATTTAAAATTAAACAATATTTGATTAGTTCGTATTTTATACAAACAAAATATGCCTGTTGTTGGATGACAGAAGATCAAATACCATTTTTGTTAATCACTGATAAGTTTTAAAATAAGTATCATCATTGATTATAAATATTATATAGATAGCCCACCGAGACACATTTCAGTTCTAGACGTCGGCGCTAATAGTATTATTTTCATTAAAAACGATAATATTTATAATCAATGGCACTACACAATGTGGAAAATTGGTATGTTTAAGGGCGGTTTCATTATATGACTATGGTTGCTAATAAAACAGTTAATATTTTTTTCATTTGAGATTTTTTCTATTTCGAATAGACACCGGTTATTGATTATAACGACTACATATTCGGTACATAATAAATAATAGTTATTTAAAACAAACTCATACATACATAAGAGCTACCGGAACGCTGATTCACATTAGGATCACCCTAATTTAAAATAAAACAAAATTTAATTAGTTTATATTTTATACAAATATAAAATTTGCTGCTTGTTGGAAGACAGAAGATGTTAGGCCAATTTTTTTCAATTACTAATATGTGTTAAATAAAGTATTACACAAAGTGACAAATTGGTATATTTCCGTGCAGTTTCAATATGAAACTATGGTTGCTTATATGGAAGTTAATATTTAAAAATTGGAAATTATTTGGGTTTTTTCTAATTTGAAGTGACACCAGTTTTCGATTTTAACTAATAAATATTTAGTACATAATAATTGTTCATATCAAACCCATACATACATAACGGCTAAGGATTTCTTTATTCTCTTTCTCCTAATTCAAAATTAAACAATATTTGATTAGTCTGTATTTTATACAAACGTAAAATATGCCATTTGTTGGATAACATAAATTGAAATACTATTTTTGTCAATTTATAATAAGTTTTAAAACAAGTATTACAGAAGTTGGAAAATTAGTATATTTAGATGCAGTTTAAATATGAAACTGTGGTTGCTTATATTGAAGTAAATATTTAAAAATCGAAAATCATTTGTGTTTTTCTAACTCGAAGAGACACCACTTTTCGATTTTAACTAAGACATATTTAGTATATAATAATTTTTTAAATCAAACCCATACATACAAGTTCAGCAAATGATCGACTATCTACACCCTAATTAAAAATAAAACAAAATTATATTATTTTGTATTTTATACAAACGTAAAATATTCCTGTTGTTGGATGACAGACGATGTTAAACATTTTTTTGTGGAATACTAATATTTTAAAAATAAAAATATTACACAAAGTGGAAAATTTGGTATGTTTAAGTGCGGTTTTATTATAAAACTATGGTTGCTAATAAGGAGGTTCATATTTGAAAGTTTAAAATTGACCCTTCGCTGCATAATATTTGTATTAGACTTGTTTTTTTTTTTATTGTTCTTATATTGTTTCTTATATGTTCTTTGAAGGAACGTACCTACTTAATAATACTTAAAAAAATTTTAATTAAAATATTTTGAGTTGTAGCTTCGCAGAGAATGCCTAATTTTGAATTGGTTTAAATATGGAACGTTGAGCACAGAACTACTACGTATTCGGTACATAATAATTGTTTAAAACAAACCCATACATACATAGTCATCGTAATTTCGATTCGGTTTCTCCTAATTTAAAATTAAACAATATTTGATTAATCTGTATTTTATACAAATGTAAAATATGCGTTTTGTTGGATGACAGAAGATACCATTTTGTCAATTACTGATAAGTTTTAAAATAAGTATTATCATTGATTATAAATATTATATAGATAGTCTACCGAGACAAATTTCAGTTCTGGACCCGACGTAGTATCATTTTTATTGAAAACGATAATATTTAGAATCAATGGCATTACACAAAGTGGAAAATTGGTATTTTTAAGTGCGGTTTCATTATTAAACTATGATTACTGCTAATATGAAAGTTAATATTTGAAAATTTAAAATCATTTGTGTTTTTTCTTATATGAATGGACACCGGTTATCGGTTATAACGATTACAATGTATTCGGTACATAATAGTAATTGTGTAAAATAAACCCTTACGTACATTGCCAGAGTGTTGTCCATAATCATGACTCTAAATTAAAATGAATTAAAATTTAATTTACATTAGCTTTTATGGGATAGTAAAATTCTAAAATTGATTTATTAAATTATTTTTATAAACAGCTTATTTATTCCTTATTATATCAGCAATTTATATGTAATTGAAACATTTATTTTTGTACTGTTGTCATTTGAGTTTTTAACTAACTCGAATAAATACTGATATTAAGCATATAATAATTGTTCAAAACAAACTCATACATACATGGCTAGCGTGCTGTGGATTCTCATTAGGCTCAACCTAATTTAAAATAAAAAAAAATTTGATTAGTTCGTATTTTATATAAACATAAAATTTGCTTCTTGTTGGAAGGCAGAAGTTGTTAGGCCAATTTTTTTCAATTATTAATAAGTTTTAAAATAAGTAGCTATTACACAAAGTGGAAAATTGGTGGGTTTAGGTGCGACTTCATTATCAAACTACCGGGTGATGGGTTAACTATGGCTCAGCCAATAACGTAGATGATATTGGACTTTTTAAAATTATTATATAGTTATTAGTTAGGACAAATTTAATATGTTTTTAAAAAATTTAACCCTATCCCTTATAACCCCATGTATATTTGACTAACTTTTTAAATTAAGAACAATTTGCTGAACATTTAGACTGACCGATAATCAGTTTTGGATAATTTGTTATAAAAG